AGGAGCGACGTTGGTATTATCAGCTTCGAGTGCGTCGTGGGTTCCTTTGGAATCATGCCGTTCAGGATCGTCACCATTCTCATTCGCCTTTCCCTGGGCATCACCTTTGCCATATGTAGAGATGGATGAGGCTGCTGTATATGCTGGATGGCCGGTATTTGCACTCTTTACCAAATCTGCTTTGTCTCTCTCTTGACTGTGTTGCTCTGCCGCATCATCCTTCGAAGACTTTTTAGTTGCTTCAGAGTCCAATTCGGTTCCTGACGCTGCCGTACTGTCATTTTTCCCTGTTGGATTCTCTGAGTCATTCGGTGTTGCTGTTATTGTTGGAGTCTCTCCCGCTGATGGTACTGACGGTGTTGTTTTTCCTGTGGGATTGCTCTTGGCGGTCGACACGCTGGAGGAGCCTTTGCTATTTACATCACTCTCCCCTGCGCCGCCTCCACTTGCACCCTTACCACGAGCTTCAACACTTATTTCTCCTTGTGTGTTAGGAGTGTTCTCATTTTGGTCGGGGTCTAACGCCTCCGGAGTCTGCACCGTGGGCTGTGCGGGCACATTAAGCGGTTTTTTTGACGGTTCATCGGTTCCTGAAGGATTATTCTTCTGAGTGACTGAACTATCGCCGGTGTTCTTCAAACCATCACCAGCATTGGGAATAGGGGACGAGGATTTATCATCGGGAACAGGAACCTTCAAAGTGGAATCTTCATCTCCGTTAGAAATTCCACTTGAGCCACCACCGCCACCACCAGTTTGACCGTCAGCACCAAGTTCACTGCGACCAATACCATCAGAATCACTGGCATCAGGAGGTGGTGGCGTTTCTGGCGCTGGTGGCGGTGCCGGAGGTTGTGGAATTGAACCTAACTTCAAATTATCCCCTTCCTCAGAAATATCTTTTACTTCTTTCGCTTCGGCTTGTATCGCATTAATGAAGAACGCTGATCGCAATGGCCGCGTGAGCACAGTTTTATTGCAACCCCTCACCGAATACGACGTTTTCGCACCCAACCCGCCCGACACCATGCAGCCACCCTGTGCGTTGTTCTCGAGATTACTCGCATCAACGCCGCCGGCACCGCACCACAGCACGCAGAGGGCACACACCAGCAGCACACGGCCAGTCATCATCATCGCCATCACTCCTGTCACTTGCGTGTAGACTTCAGCACAAACTAGCTCCCCGTCAACGCGGAGCAAAAGCAAAGGAAAGAGAGACAAGTCACGCAACCACGCACCGTCCCATCCAGCAATGAGAGTCACGCACCACCACAACAACAATTAGGCGGGCGCGGTTCAACAACAATCAAAACAAAACTAAAAAAAAAGAAGAGCGCTCCTCGCCGCGCACCGTCCCTCACACTCCCACAGTCACTGTTACTGTTATTCCCTCTCCTCAGGCCCTCACAGGCACGCCACGCTCACTTCAACACGCGCCCCTCCACCACACGCAGCCGTCATGCGCTCCCACTGCGCCGCAACGTCCGCCACTCCTCCCTCAGTCCAGCAGCTCCGTGTCCTCACAATCGTCGGCATGCCCCGCCCGCGCAACACACACAGCGCAACAATGTCGTGCCGCCTCCTCCACAATCATGAGCGCAACGCCCAACAAGTACTGGCGCACGTGCTCCATGCGCCGCAACCACACGCCGATCAGGTTGGCCGTCATGCGCCGCGTCTTGTCGTCCTTTTGCTTGGAGCAGACCCTCACATCTTCTAAATCCACGGCCTGGGCGCTGCAAGAAGTACGGCGCAACGAACGTGTGGATGTCCGTGTGGCCGTGCTTGCACCTCAACGCGTCCAGCCCGAACAGACTAGGCGGCAGCTCGTCGAGCGGGTTCAGCTTCTCCCTCTTCCATCTGTGTGTTGGTGTTGCGGCAGGGCTGTGTGTGTGTGTGTGTGCGTGTTGCCGTGGAATGGAGTGTGTGTCGTGCGTGGTGTGCGGCGTACGGTGCATGCCTGGCTGCTGCCCTCTCGTCATGTGGTGTGTCCTCTGTGTGTGTCTGCCGCACCTCTCGTCTCCCCTGTTGCTCTCCATGTCCCTCACTGTGCAGATCAGCTCCACAGCACTGAACGACCACACTCACGATGATGACTTGTCGTCTGCTGTGCGTCCTGTTGATGCTCGCCCTGTGCTGCTGCCTGTCCGATTGCGTGATTGCGAGTATGAAGATTGAGGATACTGAAAACCCCGTTTCAGAAACCACTGAGTTAAAGGATATGGAAGAACAGCCAGGTGGCGGACAGGATCCAAATGCGGATGCTGCTACGCAACAGTCAGAAAATGTGTTTTCCGGTGCGGGACAGGTTTCAGAAGGAATCTCCGGTCAGTTAAAGGGGCCCGATGAGAACATTGCGGGAGGAGGTGGAAAAACAGCCGATAAGGAAATAAAACCAAATATGACGACCACAACTACAAAGGCACCAACTACTACTACAACTACGACTACAGGCACCAATTAATACGGCCATGAAGACAGAGACGTCAACCACCACGACGACCACCCGCGAACCGTCACTTCTTCGCGAAATCGACGGCAGCCTCAGCAGCTCTGCGTGGGTGTGTGCCCTGCTGCTGCTCGCCGCATCCGCGCTGGCGTGCACCGCTGTGGGCTGAAAGGGAGCGTGGGCTGTGCGTGCCAGCACTCAGCCACAGGGACATGTGTACGTCCACTGTGGTCCGATGTATGAAGTAAGAGTAATTACGCTGATTGTTTTTGCTGTGTTTGCTTCCGCTGCCCTGCTGTGTGCTCCTCTTTGCTTTCCACATCCGCCACGTTGAACGCATCGCAGACACACTCATATGCATGCACAGCGAGGCCTTGGGTGTGGTTTGTGTTTTTAATACATTCTGATATGCAGGGTGGTGAACTTTTTCTTGCCTTTACTGATTCCCTTTGTCATATGTTGTGTGTGCGTGACTCTCATTGCTGAATGGGACTGTGCATGACGGTGCGTGGCTGTGTGACTTGTCTCTCCCCTTTTGCTTTCGCTCTGCGTTGACGGGGAGCTAGTTTGTGCTGAAGGCTACACGCAAGTGACAGGAGTGATGGCGATGATGATGACTGGCCGTGTGCTGCTGGTGTGTGCCCTCTGCGTGCTGTGGTGCGGTGCCGGCGGTATATGTGACAAGGATGCGACACTTCCTGCCGGTTCACTCGGTGCTTCTGCGGGTGGTGTTGGTGAACGTTCGCAGGAATCAGAAGAACTTGCAAAGCCAGTCCTAGGCGGCGCAGACTCAGAAATACAGTCACCAGTGGTGGAACAACCACAATTGAACCATCCACAAGATCTACGCGGCGCCGCAACGGAATCTTTGGGGGAAGGAGAAGGAGAGGGAGAAGTAGAAGAAGATGATGAAAAAGGAAGAGGAAAAGGCAAAGATGGAAAAGACACAATAATTACGGAAAAAACAGAGAAAAAAAAAGTTTAACGAAAGATCGGGGAACGTTGCAATTACCACCGCAGCCAGAAAGAGGAAAAACGCCAGCGCCACCGGGTGAAGCACTACAAGTGGAAGAAGAAGGACCACCACCATCAGGAGGAGATTCACGCCCACGACAACCGGCAGCAACACCATCGGCACCAGAACTATTGCTAACATTGACCTTAATCGAAGGACAGGGACAAGGAACCCCGTCAGAGACTCCACCAGGACCAAAAACAACAAAAATGGGAAATCAGCAGGAGAAGCAAGCCCAACAGCGTCAACAGGCTCCCAGACAGCAACTGAGACAACAAGCACGACGTCACCGTCGAACGCTAAAGTGGCGCTAGGAGCTGCGGAAAAACCTTTAGGGAATCGTGTTCCAAACCAACAGAAAGAAAAAACGGACACACCAGATTTGATGAAGGATGCACCTACAAGACATCCTGCGGAAAAAAAATCAACATCCATATCCGCAGGTGGCAGTGGTGGAGCCCAGAAAAATGAGGACAAGGTTGATAACGGTGATCAACGGCCTAACAGCAAAGAACCAAAAGACGGACTTGAAGATGGAAATACCGACGATGCTCCCACAGCCAGTGAGGCAGCACCAGAAACACCAGAAACAGACACCATTCAAAAGAATGTTACATCTAAGCCTGGCGACAGTGACAGCAGCACCGCGGTCTCCCACACCACCTCCCCTCTTTTGCCTCTTCTTCCTCTTCTTGTTACGTGTGCGGCTGCTGCTGCGGTGGTGACCGCGTGAGAGTGGGGGAGAGAGAGCCATGCACCGCCTGCACACACACACACACACACACACACTCTCTCTCTGTGTGTGTCCCCTTGCATGGACTCTCGCCCTCACCTCACCCCACGAGGCACACACAATAATGTGCCCATTGTATATATGCATGCACACCCATGCAGGCCCGTTGGTGCTCTCTTTCGCACGACACGCACCGCTGCCGTCCTGCCTGGCTGCATGGGCGGAGCACCGTAACTGTTTCTGTTTTGTTTTTACTGCATTGAGTGGGCGACCTCTCTCTCTCTCCCTCTGTGTGTGTGTTTTGCTTTACGGGAGTAATGAGAGTGTGTGTGCGCTGGTCGTCCCACGCTTCGGCTTTTTGTTTTGTTTTTCTTTCTGATTTTGTGGTTGAGTGCACCCATTCCGCGGCTTCGTGTGTGTGTGTGTGTGTGTGATGATATGAGTAATTTGCGTGCGTTCTATCCGCTTCTCTCTTCGTCGTTTCCTTCTTCGGGCTTTTTGTCCATGTAAGGCCACCAAGTTTTTCCTTCGACATACGCCATGCGTCAGTTGCTCCACTTCACCCCGCGGCCACCAGCGCTGCTGGTGCTGCTTGTGGCGGTGCGTGCGAAGTGATTGCTAGCGGATGCTTTGCTGTCACCCTGACGCATCCCTGTTTTTTCATTGACGATGCGGTGCGTACCGACGGCGCGTGGGCAACTCCGGTTGTGGTGAGGGTCGTGCCTCTCACAGCGCAGGATGTGTCGCAGGTGTACGGCTTCGTTTGTAAGAACCGATGGGCGCTTGTCCGCATCAAGACGTCAAGAAGGATCCCTGATGACAGCAGGAGGCACTGCGACTCCTCCTGGCCCCGGCGATGGGGTCCGCACCTTGTCGCGCTGCTGGGGCTCTGGTTGCATATAGGAACTCCGCAGCAGGGCGTTGCTGCGAGCACGACGGAGACCAAGACGACTCCACCCGTCGAGAGGGTTCCACGCCATGCCCGGTGCGGGGAGGTGAAGCGGTCTGCCTGCAGACTGTCGGGCAAAACTGCACGATCGTTTCGCTGCGGTCACTCCGTTGATGTCCCACGCTGCGGTGACGTCCAAACGAACCCTGCCACCGAGGAGGGTGGCTGCATCACTGTTTGGCGGCTTAACATTGCAGGCCTCTCTTCCGTAAAAACGATTGCATTTGCTGCGTGATTGGAGCGGCATCAAACTGACATCGTTCTTCTCCAGGAAATAAATGACCGTAGCAACGTGGCGAGAAAGGTTTCTGCCTGCAATGACTTTCTTCAGGCCTGCAGTGGGCGCGGTGGTGGCGTTTCCATTCTGGTGCGTCACTCTCTGCCGTGCGAGCGCCTGGCACTTACCTCCTGGGGACCATTGCTGCCCGTGCATTTCCACAGCGCTGTTTCAGCATTTGCGTGGAGAATCCCCACAACCCTCCCACAGCAATTGGTCAATAATCCGCATTTATTACTATCATTCGTCGCTCAGACATGCAGCGATTATTGCGGGTGAATTGAACTTACATCATGAGCTCTGGGACAGCCATAGACCACCAACGACTGGAGGAGAGGACTTTGCTGCTGTTTTAATTGATTTGTATTTTGAGCCGGCAAATGACCCGGCGCAGGCAACACGGATCACACATCGTAATGTCTCGTCCCCTGAAGTGACTGCGTATCGCGTACTGCGTGTCACCCACTGGAAATCCACTCCCTACATCGATTCGGACCACCGCTTGATATCTTAGTTGGTAGGGATGGACGATGGCATTCCGCGACTAGCCAATACGCCGCCTCGACGGAAGAAAGCCACCTTTGCCCTGCAAAAAGCAGATTGGCCTGCTTTCACTTCGTTGTGTGAAACCCTCCTCGCCACCGCGTCCACATGGTTGGAAATTCGCAGAGGTATCGTACGAGCAGCTGAGCGCCATACCCCGCGCGGCAGCCGTGAAAGCCCCAAAACGAATATGGACACACGAAATGGTGCAAGACGAGGTCGCGGCAGAAGCAGCACACGAAGCACACACATTGCCTCATCCGGAGACAGCCTACTTCGAGCCGAATTCATCCAAATAAGGGGGAGGAACGAAATCAAGCCTTACGCCGTTGCTCCGCTGTGCTGTTGGAAGCCCGCGCGGAAAAACTTGGAGCCCCATCCATCCCAAGCTGGCGATATCCTCGCGGCATGGCGGCGCCGCACCCTCATCCCCTGGAATCAGTTGTACTCCGAAATTATCTTGGCTGCGTTTGCGCCATGCCTCGGCTGCAGGGAGACCCGCTCGTCCGTCATTTTGTACGAGTCTCACGTACCACATTACCTTATGCTGCTGCTGCTGCACGCCGCAGTCCATTGCCTCCTGGTGACTGGGAAATGGATCGGCCTTTCACGCCGTGTGAACTTGGCGTGGCCATCCGTGACTCCTCGCCCGGCTCAGTCCCTGACCCCGACAGCATGTTGAATGAACTCCTGCACCGTCTCCGGTCTGTTGCGCGCGGCACTCTTAGAACGATGATCCACGACTCCTTCGCAAATGGCAGCCTGCCTGGCTCCTGGGAAATTGGGTCAATATTTCTATTTCCTAACCCTTGGGAAGTACCCATGCCGCCCAAGGAGTTACAGACCTATCACGCTACTCTCTGCTTTACCAAAGTTAACCGAAAGGATGATTCACCGCCGTCTGTCAGCGTTATTGCCGCACCACCCACGTCAATTTGGATTTGCACCTTCGCGTTCTACTTTGGACGTGGTGGCACTTGTTATTGGTGAAATTAACCGTGGATTGAATGAGTCCAGCACTGTGGAGTGTGAACGCCCTGGAGGCGGCGCCCCCACAAGGCACCCTCGTCGCCATCGCTCGCTCGTGGCCTCGATTGATTTTCCGACTGCGGTCGACACCGTTGACAACGGGAAGTTATTCGGCATGCTTGACAGACTTCCGCTCCTTGGTCTCGAACCAAACGCTGGCTGCACAACTATCTGCGGGGCCGCTATGTTAGGGTATGCACTCGTGAAAAGCACTCCCGGAAACAACTCACCTCAGCTGGAGTACCGCAAGGCGGCGTCCCGGGACCCCAACTCTTTTTCTACTATGTGGATGATGTGCTGCACCGCTTGGACAACATCTATTCTGCCTCCGCACTCATGCACGGTGACGAACTCACACTTGTTGCCTCAGGTGCGGACATCCATGCATGTGCTGCGGCAATGCCACAGGCCCTGTCACTTATAACGACATGGGCTGCCGAGCACAGCCTAAAAATCAACGTTGATAAGAGCGAAGCTGCTCTATTCTACATCTCTTCACACACACGTTCTGACGAGGATATGGTCGATCTCCATCTTGGCAATGGTAACCTACGTATTCAGCCACGCCCAGTGCGCTTGCTGGGCACCACGATCGATCGACTTCCTAATTTTGATTACGCACGCTTCCACCACTGCAAAGCAGACCACGCCACACTGCTATCAGCTGCGGCTGGTCGCACGGGCTGGTGCGTCCCATCACACCATGCGATCCTTTTTAATTGGATAAGTCCACAGTGTGTCACTGTATTGTGGCGAGACAATTGTCCCATGCCTTTCCCCCACTTACCTCCATAATATGGAAGTACGGTACCGCAACAGTTGTAAAACATTCTTGGCCTGAGCGCATCTACGGAAGGTACATCTGTCTACTTGGAGGTCAATCTTCTCCCGCTCCAAAAGATACTCTGGCTCCGTGCACTCACACAATACGAACGCTATATACGCCTCCATGATCACGAGGATTTGAGTTCCCTTATCTACTCGGAACCTATGCCGCCGTCCATGCATGGGAAGGCGGCGACACCAATTCCGCTTCCGAGAGTTGCCGTTATTAATGAATTACAACGCGTCCGTAACATTACTGGGATTCCCCACAACCACCTTCGTGCTCCTCTTGCCCAAGATCGAATTATTCCCTGGGACACTGTGAGCTTTAACGAAGTGAGATTTTATCAGCCACGTTTAGCTCAAGGCGTCTCTGACGATGTCAAGCGCACGGCTTTTGATTCCCTTTACTCCTCTCTAGAAGATTACGATTTTGAATTATGGGCGGACGGTTCTTCATCCCTCGCTGAACTCGCATCTGGGTCCGCCGCACTGTTATACGGCCCCACAAAGAGAAATATTCTCCCTGTGGAGGTCCATCGTGCAGCAGCTGGCAGGCTCGCATGCTCATAGAGAGCAGAGTGCCCTGCCACTGAAAATGGCTTTAGACATCTCATACCTCCTCGTCTGGACACATCCCAATCGCCCACACGAATCCTGTTGGCTACGGACTCCCTGTCGGCAATTGAGGCACCCCGCGTTGCCCCAATGGCCATGCGAGACTACATTACTGAAGATATTTGGATTATGCTAATTTTCTTGGTGAATCGAGGTCACTCTGTAGAATTTATACTTTTCCCATCACACTGCGGTATCCCACGCAATGAGGCAGCTGACAAGGAATCCACGATTACACGATCTCTCCCGCAATGAGGCATACCAATCTGGCACTTGGACTCTCTCGCCGCAGTCAAGAGGTTATACCGGAAGGAACTCGAGGAGGAAAAGGAAGGCACACACCGCATGACAGGCGCTCTTCGGCGTGGCGAGGGCTCCATTCCTGGTGTCGACCCGGAAATAGTGCCATGAGTGGCGGCACTCCGTACAGGCGCGATGCGACTCCTGCCCTCTCTTCGACAGGCCTGCACGCGCCCTGCAAATCACAAGCAGCTCCCTGTGTCGGTTGTGCCGTCCCTCCTCACCGAGGAGACCGGCCCGCCTCCGCCTCCGCCGGAACCTCTTCCCGACGTGAGCACGGCAACTCCTTGTCGACCAGCAAGCGGCGGATTGATGTCCTCTTGCCCAATTTTTGTCAGAGCGCACTCGTCCGTCCACAGTATGAGGGCACACGCCCGACACGCTCCGCCTGGCGTTCCGATAGTTCGCGAGGGCCTCACATGCGGATGCCTTAATGGCTCCACGGTCTTTTTAACAGGTGCCACGGAGTGCGAACGTTTCGGGCCACTACCGTAAATGTCAAGCGTATCAACAAGCAAAAAACGGACAAAGCACCTCTGCAAGCTCCAATGGCAACCATAGCCCTTCAGCCACTCCGCTACTGCAACCCCCACCAGCCGCTGAGCCGCCTGACGGTCCACGGGAGGCCCTGCCGCACATGATGTGGGATAACCCCTCTCGCACGATAGCACCGTTCGGGACGGAGAATTCGGCCACGTTTCTACGGACTGTCCTCAGCCTATCAACGGGTAGTGGCCGCAACGTATAACAAAAAGAAATATTTCCTTTATTCCCAGTAGAAAAAGACTTCATCGTTACAGTCACAATTTTCACACAGTGAATTCATTGCGTAATGCCGCTCTGAGCTGCAATACTTCCTGGCATCATCCAGGTCCCTTGTCGAAGCATTGATGCGGATAGGCGCCCACGCATTCCTCCCGATGACGGTTTATGTCCGCGACTTACCCTCTGCTCCAAAAAGGAAACGTCCCTCACCACAGCCGAGATCGACTTGGCGCTGGCGGCACGCATCGCCTTGTCAGAGGGAGAAAGGGTACGTCAGGGTGACAGCAAAGCACCCGCATGCACAGCACATCACAGGCATCATCACAAACAGAAGTAACAGCAGCGCTGGTGGCTGCGGGGTGACGTGGACCAACCGACGCATGGCACACGTATAGAAAACCGGGTGGCACGACAAGAATACAAGAGGGTGACACTTTTGAAACAATGAAACAATATGAGAATATAAGAGAAGAGAAGATTAAAGTGTCCGCCGCCACAGCATGCCGCCTTTCAAAAAGTAAAATGGGTGCACTCAACCACAACAAAATAAACAATAAAAAGCCGAAGCGTGGGACGACCAGCGCACACACACTCTCATTACTCCCGTAAAGCAAAACACACACACAGAGGGAGAGAGAGAGGTCGCCCACTCAATGCAATAAAAACAAAACAGAAACAGTTACGGTGCTCCGCCCATGCAGCCAGGCAGGACGGCAGCGGTGCGTGTCGTGCAAAAGAGAGTACCAACGGGCCTGCATGGGTGTGCATGCATATATACAATGGGCACATTATTGTGTGCGCCTCGTGGGGTGAGGTGAGGGCGAGAGTCCATGCAAGGGGACACACAGAGAGAGAGAGTGTGTGTGTGCAGGCGGTGCATGGCTCTCTCTCCCTCACTCTCACGCGGTCACCACCGCAGCAGCCGCACACGCAACAAGAAGAGGAAGAAGAAGCAAAAGAGGGGAGGTGGTGTGGGAGACCGCGGTGCTGCCGTCACTGTCGCCAGGCATCGTGTTTAGTTGATTAGTGGTGTTTGCACCAGTTACTGTTTCTTGTTCTTTGCCTGGAGGATTCTCTTGATGTTGTTTCTTTTGTTCTTCTCGTTCCTCTTCTGTTTCATCATCCTTTTCTTCTCCAGCTCTTTCTTTGTTTCCTGTCGGAGTTTCTCCTGCATGTGTGCGTTGGACTTCCTGCTGAATATCAGTTGAGTTTACTTTCGGGGCACCTGAGACATGTGCAGCCTCTTCTCTCTCCCGAGCCCGATGTCTTTCATGACCCTCAGCACCTTCCTCCCCTTCTTCTTCTTCTACTTCACTAGAACCATCATTGCCGTTGTGCTCTCCCGAAGAATGATCTCCTGCAGGATTACGTGGTGCTATGTCCTCAACATTTGTTTGTTGTTCTTTTCCCTGCGACGGCTGTTGTAATTCCCCACTTTTTTTATTCTCTTCTTGGAGTGGAATTTCTTGATGTTGCGGCTGTGGTCCACTTCCATTTGCATTTTGTTTGGTTACTTTCATTTGGCCATTTGCTTCTGTTTCTTTTTCTGACTGGTTTTGTGTTCCACCTTCGACTTGGCGTTGATTTTCATTTTTTGGTTCACTTTCATTTATAATTTTCAGTTTTCCATCAGCGGCTTGTGACTTTCCTCCTCCTCCTCCTGGTGGTAGTGTTATTTCTTCCTCTTCCTCTTCATCAGCAGAACTTTCTTCTCTCGAAGGTCCACCTTCATCTGTTTCTGCTCTTGTTTCTTTAGCACTTATTGGTTCTAAAACCGAGTTTGGTGATCCTCCCTGTGCAATTATTGGCGGTTCCAGCGAACTTTTACCGTCACTCCCAGAAGCACCAAGTAAGCTGGCCTGCGGTAATTCATCCTCGTCACACGTACCGCCGGTAACGCACCACAGCACGCAGAGGGCACACACCAGCAGCACACGGCCAGTCATCATCATCGCCATCACTCCTGTCACTTGCGTGCAGCCTTCAGCACAAACTAGCTCCCCGTCAACGCAGAGCGAATGCAAAAGGATAGACAAGTCACACAACCACGCACAGCCAGTCACGCACCGTCCCATTCAGCAATAGGAGTCACGCACTACAGCAACAATCTAAAAAAAAAAAGTGGAGCGCTCCTCGCCGTGCACCGTCCCTCACACTTCCACAGTCACTGTTACTGTTACTCCCTCTCCTCAGGCCCTCACAGGCACGCCACGCTCACTTCAACACGCGCCCCTCCACCACACGCAGCCGTCATGCGCTCCCACTGCGCCGCAACGTCCGCCACCTCCTCCCTCAGTCCAGCACCTCCGTGCCCACCACGTCCCTCACAATCGCCGGCATGCCCCGCCCGCGCAACACACACAGCGCAACAATGTCGTGCCGCCTCTCCTCCACAATCATGAGCGCAACGCCCAACAAGTACTGGCGCACGTGCTCCATGCGCTGCAACCACACGCCGATCAGGTTGGCCGTCATGAACTGCATCTTGTCGTCCTTGTAATTGAAGCAGACCCTCACATCTTTTCAATCCATGGCTTGGTGCTGCAATAGGCTGCCGAGTGTTGCCACGTGCGTGGAAGAGGCAAATGTGAGGAAACAACGGCCACGCTCACTCCCTCACACATCTCCACTTCCCTCCACTGTCCCGCACACAAAAGGGCGGTGTCATGGGGAAAAGAAGCCAGCCGCACAGCGCATGCACGAGGGCACACGCAATAGCAACGCCATCCACGTCGCACCGCAAGATAGTGCCATGCGCACAGCACAAGCACGGCGGCAAAGAGAGTAACGGGACGCATCCAAGTACATACAGTACAGCCATTTACTTCTCCCTTCCCGACGGATTGGCACCCACACTCACAAATGGAGCACGGCGCACACAATCCGCTACCCTTTGAGTGCATTCAGCAGGCCGGCGCCCAGTCACCCTCGTGCCATCGCAATGGGGGAGCACAAACAATCGTCGTCGCGGACCATCGATGCCTCTAGCAGAAAAAAGAGAAATAAAAGAAATGAGGGCATGTCAACAGCACAGCTACCAGAGAAACACTCAACGGGAAACAGAGACGCAAAGTGACAGCAGATACGGTAACTACAGAAATAAACTGCAGGGATTTACCAAAGAAGAAATGCAGAATGGGTGACGGTCAGGCATGACTCCCAGAAGAAAAAAATTTGTAAAAAAATGGTTCGGCAGGACTTTTATTTCATGTGTCGAGCAGCACAAAATAAAGACCATGTGTTTGTGTATATACGCATTGACCGCACCAAAAAATAAAAATAAGTTAAAAAAAGGGTGGCATAAAAAAGCGCGGGCAATGCGGCGTGTATTCTCCGTGAGGCGTCGCAAATCCACACTCCGTGGCTCAGAAGACTGCCACCACCCAAATACAATCCCAGAAGAAGCAGCAACACACAAGACACGCACACACGCACGGTGTTCTTGCCGCCTAAATCACGCAGTGTCAATTTCACGTCGTTGAGAGAGGCGAGGTGGTCGTCGGGACTCACGCCGCTCCACACCCTGCGAGGTGACTGTTTGTAGTGGGGAGTCGTGTCCAGGGGCGTTGTGCCCATTCATTTCCTTTCTCCAATATTCCCAGCAACGTGCTCCCTGACGGTGCCAACTACTCGAATCTTCTCGGGCGGTGTCGGAGCCGCTTCCCTCGTCGGAGCGGGGACCCTGTCCTTGGGTGCACGCATCGCAGTGGAGTTCAGTGGGCGGCTGTACGGAAAGACGTTCGTCACCGTCACATGAGATTCGTGCCCACCGCACGCGTCAAAGCGAACCCTCAGTACCTCAGGTGGCCTCTGGCCTGTCAACAGCACCTCTTCCTCTCCCAGCGACCGACCATCAATATGCACAGAGGCCTTTTTGCCCTGCAGCATGAGTGCCACTTGGTGGTCTTTCTTCGGCTCTCGATTGCTGCTCCGTGTTGTTGTCTTGCCTCCGAACGCCGTCTCCACTCCTTATTGTGGCTGCACGACAGTCCCACGGTGTGATTGGACTCAGTGTTCGCCAGCATCGCAGTCAGTCGAGGCGTGTTCCCACTCGGAGCCTCTTCGATGCTCACCGACGCCACAAGTGTGAAGTCGTGGCTCAAAAATACATGACGCACTTTATCACCCCAAGTGTTCACGGGCCATATTGCCCTGGACTCAAGTCCCGTCAATTGAAACCCATCGTTGTCCTTCACTGCGTTCCTCCACCATCGCATGCAGGCAAAGGTACTCGTCGTCCCACGTGTCATCACTGGCCGCATCGGACAAAACTGCCACCAGACACGCCGTGGGTGTAGACAAGCTGGAGAAGAAAATGTCCTTTTGCACCCAAGTACTGAGGACGGACTTGATTGCACTCAGTTCCCCCGTCAGGCGGGAAAGTGAGATGACACGGCCCTCACCGTTGCCCCTCCCTTGTAAAAGATGCAAATTACCATCAGAGTGCAGCAGGGTGCTGGCGAGCATCCAATCCGCAGCATTGTCCACGGCAACCGGTCCAACAGAAAACGTGCGGTTGCTGTCCGTGACCCAAAGGCAGAGCGCAGTATGCCTTTTATTCCCCGAGGTGTGCCCTCTCTGAGTGCACAGCATGACCTTCCTTCCCTCAATGGTCGCGGTGATGAGGGCATCCACACGTAGGCCTTCCTTCTGGGGGACTTCTGATCGTGCGTTGACCCACACGGCTGAGAGTGTCCCGATGGCCTCCGTCCACGATGTCCCCATGCCACGCGACTCCTACACCCTCCGGCCATCCTCGCAGTCAACAATCATGTGAAGTGATCCCTCCCACTCGGTGACGCGGGGTTAAGGCATTCCGCAGGGGAAATGTCCTCAGAGAGCGCCCAGGCACTGCCGCTGTCCGTCGAGCAAATGATCATGGAGCAAACGTCTTTTGCTTCATCCTTCGCCATCAGAGGAAATACAAGCGTGCCATCCTCCATCACAACACCTGCGCCACCAGAAGCAATGAACCCCGTCCAGTTACCTTCGTGAAAAGCAGAAGAGATCCGTTTCGGGAGTGGTTTGGGGTCGCCCCATTCGATCCGTCCACTCTGCCTGCCACCCGTGGGATTCGTGGCATCGCCCACAAACAGTTTCAGCTCCAAGCCGCCCTCTCTCCAACACACACCTTCGTAGGACACATCAGAGCCTCCCGCAGGAGGAAACACTCCGTTGCCCTTCGTGATTGTTGTGGGGCGGAGCACAACACCCAGACCCTCCTCTTCCTCCGCTGCAACAAGCACAGTGTGTGCCCTCCATGCATCCTTTTATTGACCTCACCAACAACAGTGGACCAATTCCACACAGAGTCGATGCATCCTGCAAGAACATCAGAAGAAAAGGGCTTACTTAATTGACCACCTTGATATTGGGCATCCATGTGACCCTCGGCGAAAGCAGCAATTACTCCACCAGCACTGACGAGAGAGGGCGAAGCAAACGAATCCCCCATCGTAACTGGAGCAATCCCATCCTCCGACTGCACCAGCGTCGTCCGCAGCACAAATAGATCGACTCCCCGCGGCAACTCAACATTTATTGAACCACTCATCGCATCATCAACGGGATCCTCCTTCGGCTCCGTGACAGGCGTGGGCCTTCTTTCGGGTGGTGTCGGATCCACTTTTGTGTTCCGAACAAAGGCGAACTCAGGCTTCGTCTCGTAAATGTTGGTCGCCGTGTTGGATGCGGGACTCGGATCGACGGTGTTGGGAGCGTCAGCCGCCGCAGACTGTCGCCAATCCTCGTTCTGACGTGACGGCTCAGCATTCACTGGCGGCGCAGTTGTCCCACCAGATTTTGTGTCATCCTTCCCTTCACGGGGCGGCGGCAACTGACGGATACCTGTCCGGTCAGCATCGCCGCTCCGTGCAGGCGGATGGATGGTTCCATCGGGAAAAATTGACGCCACCACAATTCATAAGGGCCGGCGCATTTATGTGTCGTCACATTCATCGTGAAGGCAACGGTGGCCCCTTCCTCTTTCCTTGCACAGCTGACAGCACAGTTGCGACATGTGTGCACCGCACTGGCCACATGGCACACAGCACCCAGCTCACCATTCCTGCCATGCATGCGCACACCAAAGCCACTGAAAGTGTAATTCTCATACTGAGCCTCAGCACTGGCTGCGAAACACTTCTTCCACGCCCACACACATCCACACGCGATAGCTCAGGCTGCCGTCACCCGGAGCACACGACACATCCACCGGCACAACCACCGTATCCGCATCATCAGATACATGTCCAGCACTCCCAGCAGCCGTCACGCACACGGAAATGCAGCAGCAATACAAGGGCGCAAGGACCAACACGGCGCACACCACACGGGGCCGCAACGTCACCATCGTCATCATCGCAGTTACCATTACCCACAGTGGAGTCGCTGGGGTCAGTGAGCCGATCCGTAAGCCAGAAGGAAAAGGAATGCAACAGGAGGGAGAGGGACGGAACGCAGCGGATACAGCGAGAGGGCAGCAGGCCCAGCCGCACAGTCCACACACCACGAGAGGGCATCCACGCAAGGAAGGCACACAACGCCAGCAGCCACCCACCATGCAGGAGGAGAAGACATCCACCACCATCTCCCCCAGCTCATTCCCACAGCCCCAGGGAAATGGCCAAAACACCGCGGCCACCACACCAGCCACACGCTCCAGCGAACCCTCATCCATTCATGACGCGGCAAAAAAATTTCCTGCCATCCCGCCCTCAATGGAACACAGAGCCCAACTCAACGCAGCCACACGCGGTGCATCACACCCGCAGGAAAAGAGACTCAGGGTGCGCACTCCCTCTCCTCCCCTCTCCTCATGGCCACGGAAGAGGACAACAGCCGCCACACGCAACTGCCAGCATGCACTACAAAAGGAGCATTCAAATCCACTGCAACGTGCATCTTGTGTGTGTGGTTGTGTGTGCCTGCAGAAACACAAAGCAAAGAGGTAGAAAAGAGGGAGCAGAGTGTGTGGAGGGACGCACAAAAAAAATGTACAGCGAAGACGCATGGCGAAAGCAGCAACAAGAAGACCGCTCAAACTCATGACTGCACTGCAGCCCAAGCAGCCGCAATCCACACATGATTTATTTAAAACAAAAAAGAAAACCATCCCCTTCGTCTTATGTAAACCCCATCACAAAAAATAATTATAAATAAAAAAGAAATCGTCCATTACTGTTCCACACAAATTTAGAAATCGCCTGGCTGCCGTGTGGCCACACCAAGCTGTCCGTATATATTTTGCCCGGAGAAGAAAATTGAAAAGATGGTTGCGTGTGTTTCAACCGTCCGACCCTCCATGTGTCCGCACATCGTTTGTATTTCATGGGGTCATCCGCGTGTTGCTGCTCCCCTCAGCCCTCTCATCGGCGTGTGAGTGCGGCCCGCAGAGCACAGTCACTCGTGTGTGTGGGGACTGAGAGAAGCACGCAGACACGACGGGAGTCGCGTCACTCCGTCGGGAGAGTGAGCGCAGCAAAATAAAAAAAGATCATCAGGAGGGAGAGAAATGCTGACGGGACTGCCAGCGCGTGAAATGAACGCAAAAAGCAAAAAACAAAAAATCTTAAAAACACGGCGGCAGGGTGTGGCTGTGTGTGTGGCGTTGCGGGTGTCTGCCCGCCCTGGCCGCAAGAAAACAAAGCAAGAGGGAAAGAAATGTGTGCTCCGCCCCACAGGCCCTCGTCGCACGCCCACACTTCACCCCTCCCTCAGCGCGCCGTTCGTCGCGGCACCTCCTCATGCGTGCAGCAGGCGAGGCGCACAGGGCCGTCGTCATGAGCGTGTCGGTGGGTGTGCGAGTGGAGCAGTTGGGCGGGAAACACACGGCACCCCTCACAGGAAGAGTGCAGAAGAAACAATTAAAGAGGGAAGAGTGGAAAAAATGTCCACAGTGATTGCCCCAAAAAGCAAAAAGGAAAAGAGGGATGGGGGATGAAAAACACAAAATAATTTAGTAAAAAAGCAAAATTAAAATTAAAACATTAAAAAAAATATATTAAAAACGCACAAAAAACTCAACACACATAAAGCAAGAAAATTAAATGAATTTTATTTATGAAGAGAAATTCACCGCCAGTTGTGTGTGTCGGTGCAGCGGAGGTCGCAAGTGTTTTCACGCGGCAGCCAGTCACGCCTCACAGAGCCGCAAACCCCCACAGTCCCAACAGCAGAAGCAGCAGCGATGGCAGCAGTCCGCTCCCACGCATGGTGCCGGCATCACCCGTTGCTTCTCCAACGACATGGGAGTTCGAAGCTGCCGCCTTCTCCACACTTCCCTGCGATGTATTCGCCGGCACGTGCTGTGTGTTGGCAGATTCCCCCACCATCGTATTTTTTCGTGTTTCACGTTCTTGTTGAGGCTTGGGCGAGGTCGTTTGCTCCACTGGAGCTTCAGGAGGTATCGTTGCAGGAGGCATCATCCTTTTATCCCCCTCCACCGATTGAGAAACAGTTCCTGTTGGCTGCGGATCTCCCGATAGTGACACAATATCTTTCGATTATGAATCGGTAACTTCTTCCACCTCGGCTCTCGTACCTGAAAAAGTCAGCGGGCGGTTGTACAGCAGGACGTTCGTCACCGTCACGGACACGTCCCCTTGGTTCCGTGTCTTGTCTCCATCCCCTCCAATGTAGAAGTGTGAGATCTCATTCGGTTCTGTATTTTCCAATTCACATTGCGCATCCCCCACACGCTGACCATCGACGTACGCGGAGCCATGGTTGCCGTTCCGTAGCAAAATTACCACGTGATCTTCCTTCGTCTCTGGCCCCCAAAATACGCTGAGATCCTTAGAATTTGTTTCGCCACCGCACAGCAACTGCCACTTCTTTTCTTTGTTGTACGACAGTCCCAACAATATAGGATACCCATCGCCATCCATCTTCACACCCAACAATGGAATATTACCCTCCGTCGGCTCACCGTCTATGGACACCGTCGCCACAAGAGTGAAGTTGTAGTTCGCAAAGTGGTACAGCTGATTCTCCCCCTGCTCGCCAACAGGCCACTCCGCCCACGCTCCCTGGAACTTCACACCATCTTCCGCCTTTGCAGCCCAACCTTTATTGTTTTTCCCATTATCATTCCCCTTTACTGTGGCGTTCACCCCGAGGTACTCGTCCCTCCATGTGTTCTCAGAGAAGTTGTCGGACAAGAAGCCAACCAGCCCATCCGTGATCTTAACATCAGTAGTGCATGCAGTGCCAGTTGAGGCATCCCTCCCAACACTCTCAGTGGGACAAAGCTTGGAAACACGTTCGTCCACTTCCCTCCACGTTTTCAGCACCTCCTTCACCCGCTGCAGCTGCGCAGTCAGACGCACAGTAACCATATCGTGTGATGTGTCTTCATCACCGCCCTTCTTCTTCTCGTACAGTGCAATCAACTCCTCCTTTTTATTTTCACCACTTTTACCACTTTTGTACAACAGGGAGCTGGCGGTAACGTCTTCTTCCTCTCCGGACACCGGCCCAATATCAGAAATGTGCGTACTGTCCGTCAACCAAAGATGGAGTACGCCTTTTCCATTTTCTTTCTCTTTCTTCTTGGTATACACCGGCAGAGTAACGAGCATCACGTCCCTTTCCTCAATCGTCGCTGTGATGAACCCGCTCCTAACGATTTCAACCTTTTCACCCTTTTTGTTGCCCCACACGCGCGAGAGCGTCCCGAGTGCCTCCGTCCACGATTCCCCCTTGTCACCGGACTCGTACACCCTGCGGCGGCCATCACCACACGCAGTCATCATCATGAGTTTTTTGTCCTTCTCCCACTCCACGACGGAGGGATCACTGCAGCCACCGTCAGACATCCCCTTCGACAGTGTCCAACTCGCAATATCCTTCAAGGAGTGAATGATTAGCGAAACGGTCGTTGTCTTTACTTCATCCTCCTTATTATTTGCCTTCTTCGTGGCCTCCACAGGGAACACAAGCGTGCCGTCATTCATCTTAATACCCGATCCACCGCCGTTAGTCAGCTGCGTTAAGGATTCGTGTTGTTTGACTTTATAACTCCACGGGAGACCGTAAGTATCATTCCAATAAATTCTTTTTTTACTGTCAACAGTACTGACGTTCCCACTCACCAGCAAAAGTCCCCAGTCACCTGCCTGATCATCAGAGACGCCTTTATTGCTGTAGTTCCCAGCAAGCATGTAAATATCACTTCCATCCACAACCGTTGTTGGCCGGCTCACATGTACTTTCGTTTCGCTTTGGGAACCACGTTCCTTAGCAGCGGTTTGGGAGGGACAATTGCCACCTTCAAAAGGACATTCCTCCAGTACTTGTGTCTTCAGTTTAGTTTTATCCAACTCTTTTTTTTGTTCACCAGTCAACGTCAGGAGTTCCGAGGCAATCCCAGTAAAACTGCCTTCAACAGTATCTTTTTTTCTCGTGCACTGCGCCTCGGCAACGGCAAACACATCACCGTTCATCTCAACAAGACTGGGGACACGGAGCGAACTCACTGTTTCCCCATCTTTCGCATCTCTCCAATCAAAATACGTCCTTGCATTTCCCGAACCTGGCGCCGTCACCTCACTGGATGCAGCCCCTCCAGTGCCGCAGCACACCACCAAAAAGAGGAACAGCAGCGCAGAGTAGAAGTGATGCCGGGACATGTTGGGTCTCTGCGGCTCACTCTCTCCTCCTTCCCTCCTCCTTCCGCTGGATCCGGTCACGCGGCAACGGTTGTGTGTGCGGGGTGCCATGACTGCAGCAACACGTGAGAGCATATAAATATGTGTGTGTGCGGTGTGTGTGCTGTTGGTCCTTTCAGTGTCTTCGAATTTCACAGTAGCGTTTAGCGCTTGTTTGATTTCTTTCTTCGTGTGTGATTGAAAGAGAAATAGAGAGAAAACAGGCTAATAAAAGAGGACAAAACAGTGAGCACAGCCACCCATCCACAGTGAGTGGCACCATCATCCCCGCCGCAGTCACTCCCAACAACAACAACTCACGCACACAGACACACGGAACAGGAGATGGATGGACACTGCACCGGGAACGCACAGCGACGGTCACCAGCAGCAGGAGCCACGCCGGTGTGTTTCGTTATTCGTCACGCGTCAGCACACACTGAACAACACCCACAGACAAGAAGTAAACGGCGAAATGCTAAAAAGCACAACCATCCTTCACAGCACCCACGCGCTGCCGCCAGTCGTCTTGCTGTTGTCTCTTCCAGCGCACCCGCACATCACCCCACACAGCCGGAGAATCCCCCGTCAACGGATGCACAGCGACTGTGCCACGTCGGCAGGTACAGTCAATGGGCAGAACTCAATAAGCAATTGTCCCAGACACCCTCAACAATGCACGAATCACTAGTTGTGCGCACTAGTACCACGCCCGCATCACTACACGGAGAGGCACTGCGGACTCACGACCTCCTAACTCGCAAAAGCAACCGCAGCCACAATCTTGTGCGTGCGTTCACAGCGTTCACGCCACTCCACAGCATGTGCAACAAGAAGATTCTGCGCATGTGTCCGTGTGTTTGTCAGCGCCTATACTTGCAGAGCAGCTGTGCGCCACAAGAGAGTCTGAAGAAAGCAACGGCAGAGAGAGGCAGATAGCACACACGCAAATTACTCATATCATCACACACACACACACACACACGCAGCCGCGGAATGGGTGCACTCAACCACAAAATCAGAAAGAAAAACAAAACAAAAAGCCGAAGCGTGGGACGACCAGCGCACACACACTCTCATTACTCCCGTAAAGCAAAACACACACACAGAGGGAGAGAGAGAGGTCGCCCACTCAATGCAATAAAAACAAAACAGAAACAGTTACGGTGCTCCGCCCATGCAGCCAGGCAGGACGGCAGCGGTGCGTGTCGTGCAAAAGAGAGCACCAACGGGCCTGCATGGGTGTGCATGCATATATACAATGGGCACATTATTGTGTGTGCCTCGTGGAGTGAGGTGAGGGCGAGAGTCCATGCAAGGGGACACACAGAGAGAAGGACGAGTGTGTGTGCAGGCGGTGCACGGCTCTCTCTCCCTCACTCTCACGCAGCCACCACCGCAGCAGCAGCCGCACACGCAACAACAACAAGAAGAAGACGCAGAAGAGGAGAGATGGTGTGGGAGACCGCGGTGCTGCTGTCACTCTCAACGTCTGCGGTTTCCTTGCCCTCCGTTACACTCTTAGGGTTAGTTGTTGGAGCATTCTTCTCTCCTGTGAAGGTTACGGTGCCGTTTTTGTTTGGGTGGCTTACATCATGAGTGGTCGGTTAGGCCGTTGTAATAGTTTCAGGTTCTGCAGCTGAAGGACTTGGAGTGGGACTCTCACCGTCGCCCAATCCCTCATTTTTTCCATCGGTGTTGTTAAGGGATGCAGTTGGGGATCCTACACGGGCAGTGTTGGCAGCCGCCTCACTGGTTGCCGCGTCGTCAATGGAGGGACTGCTAGCATCCTCCGACGCCAGAGTGTCAATACCGCCAGCATCGGGCTTCAGAGCTTGATCAGTTGTGTTTTTGGTTTCACTGTCTTCATTTGGGTTCCGTGTGGCACGTGAATGTTCGGGAGTTTCTTCAGCTGTCAGTTCCTCTTTTGAGTTCACTGTTTTATTCGCTGTCGGCACTGTTGACGGTGATGGCTGTGCTTTTGGTGCCGCTGGAGCGCCTGGTAATTGTGTGTCAATACCATCAATTGCTTTTGGATTTTTATGATTTTGATTTATATTTGGGTCTGCCAGTTCTGTGTCCGTCCCTTTCAAATGAGTGGCAATGGTTTCCTGACTATCCAATAGAACCTCCCCATCGGTAGTCAAAGGTTTGACAGTAGAACCATCATTCTTCTCTTTACACATAGATTTATCGGGTGGTGCTTGATCAAAGCTTCCTCCATCTGACATGTCTCGTTCACTGGGATGAGAATCACCCTCAGACGCAGTTTTCATTGTCTTTGTTTTATCCGTTTTCACTCCGTTTTCCCCAGAGACGCCTGACCCCGTCCTAGAATCGCCAATACCAGACCGAGAAAGGGAAGCTGACTCCTCTTCCGTACATCTACCGTAGGCACTACACCACAGCACGCAGAGGGCACACACCAGCAGCACACGGCCAGTCATCATCATCGCCATCACTCCTGTCACTTGCGTGTAGACTTCAGCACAAACTAGCTCCCCGTCAACGCAGAGCGAAAGCAAAAGGAGAAACACGGCACAGTAAAAAACACCACCAGAAGCAGCAACACACGCAAATATAAGCGCAACGAATGGAATAATGCAGGCAACCATTTATTTGTGTTTCTGTTTGAATATTGGCAGATGTCCGCATATGTTGTTTTTGCGGAGGGCAAACCTTCATGTCTGCATCGTGTGTTGGGGATTTCTGCAGGGTGCACAATTATGTTCTTTTTTCCCTCTTGTGAATGTTTCTTGTGTTGGTGCAGCCAACAATTCAGTTTGTGTTCTTCCTGCTTTTCGCTGGTAAAGTGTTGCAATAGACGTTTGTTTTTCCATTCGTTGCTGTGGCACCTTATTCCTCACCGTTTATTGCGGTGGAAATGAAAATATTTGAGTGGACTCCCACACACCAGAACGCACCTTCGCTCCTATTTATTGCTGCATGGAAGGGCATGTGTGTTTGGTGGTGTCTCGTCCATATATTTTGTGGGTGCACATTCCCCTGCACGCTGAGGGCGGGATGACGCTCCGTCGCGGTGCACTTCCCTCGCATGCCGCCCACTGTGATTCATCATGCATCACCCCCTCACATACTCCGTGGTGCCACACCGCTGATATTATTGCAGCCGCTATGATTCCGCGTATTTCACGCATTTGATTGTGCCACAATACATCCGCTCGTGTGGCCGCCGCATCCAAACAGCGGTGCCCAACACCGTGAGCGGCAGTCCACATCCTTGCATGTCCCAACGCTGTGGTGCTTGACTGTCAGCCAGGCGCCAGACAACAGGAGAAGTCGTGTGCTGGCAGTACAACGCACGGAGCTGCAGTGAATGACTCGGGCGGCGACGCATCTATTCGTCGCAAAGCAGTGAAAAGGAGTCGGGCAAAATAATGCCGGCTGCACTCACGA